GAAGAAAGTCTCCTTCTACAGACCACTGAGTTGAGATCCCATATAGTGTGGGTTCTCATCTCCTTTCCGAATAGCCATGGATAGCTCCTTCTATTCAGGGGTCATCTGACATACTCTCAGACTTACAACATGCTTGATTTATAGACACAATGTATTTCCAAAGTTCATTTTACAAACACATGGTTTCTAGACATCCATTTGCACCCATACAAGGGTGTTCTCACATGAAGATATGTCGAAAGGTGACAAGGGTATCATTTACTACCTGTTTCAAAGTAGGGCTGGACAGCATGACAGAGAATCCACCCATTATGTGGAACGTAATTTCAAGATGAAATACATTCATTTTAACATGGTTAGTAAGCCATGGATTATGGGTAAATCTGGTCTGCTACTTGTTTTTATAGATAGTCTTATTGAAACACAGTTTCATTTATAACACATTGTCAGCAGGTGCTTCCGTGCTGCAAGGCAGCACTAAACATTGCAAAGGACACTTTGTGGCCTGTAGATATTATTTGGCCCTTTGCAGGGAAGACTTGCTGAACCACAGGTAACCCATCCTTGGGATCTCCTCCCCTTCTCAGCACAGATCATGAGCCTACAGTAGGAGCAGAGTCCCAGGCTTGGGAGGAAAGTCTGGAATCCTGGTTCTGCTGAGCCTCTATGGGAGGTGTTGGGGAATTGCAAAGCAGCACAAGGTGTTATATTGTGTTTACTTCTTAGTAATCTCCCTGCTTCATTTCTGGACCCACAGGTATAGAACACAAGCTTGGCAGGAAGTAGGGCTATCTGTTCTGGTCACAGCTGGAACCTCACTTACTGAACAAATGAAAAGATATGTAATTTACTTTGTGACGCAGGGACTGTGTGTGTTTTATCTGAAGACAAACATGGAGCAGATTAAAGGGCCACAGAGACACTTTGTGGATATTGTGGTCAAGGCCCTGGTTTGTGTTGTCTTTTGGGCAGCTGCACGGTTCCAGCAGAACCTGTAGGAGCAAGCACAGTCTTCCCAGCCATCCTGAGAGTTCCCCTTGCCTCCTAACAGCTTCACTTGCAGAGGATTCTGCTTGCCAAGTTTCTAGAATCAACAATTAAATTTGAAAAAAAATTCCATCTAATTATCTGATGAATTGTAACACGGGGGGGGGGGTAGAGCTGTCACTGCTCATTTTTTTCAAGGGGGGGGGGGGTAGAGCTGTCACTGCTCATTTATTTCGATGTTTTTTTTTTTATTAGAACGAGTGACTTTTGATGTCTTAGGGAAGGTTGGGAAACCACAGCTTGTTGATCCCTTCTAGAACACAGAGATGCCTGGGCGTGATGGGACACAGCTCCAATCCCAGCACTGGGGAGGCAGAGGCAGGAGATAGGAGTCATATTTTGAACTTAAGAGCAATATGAGACTCCACCGTCTCCTCAAAAATCCAAACATCACCACTACCAAAAAGGGATCAGAATAACTAACAGACAAACATGCCCAAGCTTTGGTCTACAGGCCATGCTGCAGCCCAAGATAGCTAGAATGGGACACAAGGTATTGTAGATTCAATGTCATGTCAAAAGGTTGGATGCCTATTACACTAGATGCTGGGAGAGGCCCCTGAGATGCGCAGGTTTCTGAAAGGACTAACAATTGTGTTGGGCTTCAATCAATGACAACCCAGCATTGAACTTGTCTGTAGCCCAAGGGTGCAAAAGTGGAAAGAATGCACCGGAGAGGAACAGGTTGCTGCCAGCTCATGTGAGCTGAGGGGTACTGAGGGGTGCTGTCAGCAATGGGTCTACAAGTGGGAGAAGGGGAAATAATGTGGCAGAGGCTAAAATAAGCTCCCAAATTCTATCCTGATGCTAACTTATATGTTGTTTGGAGACGCTGGCCACCCCACTGTGGTGATATCTTGCTTGTACAAATAAAGTCTGTCTAAGAGTCAGAGAATGGAGCTTGCCACTAGCTAACCATAGAGGTCTGGAGGTCTGTACAGACAGACAGGAAGTGAGATGATTGGGCAGAAACAGTATATAATCAGTGAGAAACAGTAAATTGCTCTCTTGTCTGCTGAGATGCTAAGGAGGTAAGGTGTGGCGGTGGCTTGCTCCTTCTTCTCTTTGATCTCTCAGCATTTTCCTCTGTATCTGACTCCGGGTTTTTATTACTTAGACCAATTAAGAACTCCATTTACATTTTGGCACCCAATGTGGGACACAAATCCACAACCCTGGGATTAAGAGTCCCATGTTCTACCAAGTGAGCTAGTCAGGCTCAAATGTAAGTCCTGCTCTTTCTGCCCTAGTGCAAGCCTTGCCAACACTGGGCACTGAGGGAAGGATTGCAGCTCTCACACATGCAGACCTGAATACAACCACTGCAGGACTGTGTGCCTGCCAAAGGTCCATTTAGACACAGCATAGAAGCCACCATGAAATCCCCCATCCTTAAGACTCCATCAGCTACAGGCTACTGCCTAGTCTCCTGCTGTAATGTTCACAAAATGCTCAGGAAATGAGCAGACACCACCTGAGGAAAATCTGGGAACTAAAGCCAAAAGATGAGCAAAGGAGATACTGGGATTCTAAGCATGGGGCTCACAGTGTTCGGACCTGCCATCCCCAACCACTGAGGACCCTGCCACTCTAGGATGTATGGCCTTGGGCTACTGCTCTACTGTCAAGCCCTGTTCTCGCAGCAGGGAGAGAGTCTCTAAGACTCCAGCCTACCATGTTTACTAGATATTTAACTTGGAAGTGTTGACCTTTATAACCAGGCGGACCCGTTGCTCAGAGAAACAGGAAGTTAACTCACCAGAAAGCCATGGAAGTGAAGCACCAAAGTGGGTCAATATTTTCCTACCAATAAGGTGGTTTCAGATGAGAATGACTTCAAGTGACACACCCGTGAAGCCTCAACAGTTCTTCTCTCAAATGTGTCCTATGCTCACGGATCTGAAAAGTGACTATGAATGACAAACTTGGTGTGTGAGTGTCAGTAATGCATGAGATAGACATTCAGTGTCCTGAGACTCCTTATAGAAGGATCCACCCATCACAGGGGTGGGTGACATTGGGAAGTGTGTCTCAGGGGTCTTTTTGGGAAGGTGGTGTGTCCTAACTAGGGCAGGCGTTGAGGCAGATAATGAAGTAGGTGAAGGAAAAGAAAATGGAAAAGGTAGGGAGGGCCATGCCCAGTAAGCATTGTCTCTCAGATTTGCACTTGACTTCCTTAAAGATCATAAGAATCTCATTCCTCCAGTTTTAAACATATATTTTCTGTTTTTATTTTCTCTCATATAGCATTTAAAGATTTATGTATATGTGTGCCTATCTATTTGTGTGCCTGTTAACACACCACTTGGAGCTGGGGTTATAGGTGGTTGTGAGCCGCCTGACATGGGTGTGGGGAACCAAACTCTGGTCTTCTGCAAGAATAGCAAATACTCTTAACCGCTGAGCTACTGCTCCAGCCCTGTCTCCTGTAGTTTTTGAAGGTAGAGACTGTAGGCTGATTCTCACCAGGTAACTCTGGCCTGAGTTGAAAGCAATATATGCATGTTTGACCTAAACAGTTTTAATTGACTGCCAACATTAAAAGAAACCACAACATGTCATATAAGAGGGTAGGACTTTTGGGTGCACTTGAGGAACTGGAGACATGGCAGCATGGGCTTCCATGTGTGCTGACCAACGTCACATGGCCCTGAGAAACAGGGGCTGTCACTTTTAATATTTTTGTGGTAACGGGGATAGATCCAAGGCTTTGAGAATGCTAGGCAAGTGCTTCATGTTCTCTGCCTGGTTGTCACCTTAAATGGGTTCAAACTCACTGGCTCACCCATCCCCGTTGCTCCTTACTGTGTCACCAACCTGGACCCCTGCTGATAAGTATAGTTTATTTAAACTACTCATGACTCATTTCGATCATTTATGTTCCAGAAGCCATGCTTCCTGGCAGCCTGACCTTCAGTATTATCACTGACATCTACTTTTACCAAATATCATCAACTTGATGATGAAATAATTGAAACAATTTTCTGTTTTACATTCTTTGGAATTCAGTCCATCTGACCTATACCCCCCTTTGGCAACAGCATAAGGCTGAGGACCATCAGCACCCATGGATCTCAGTGTTTTCATAAGAAACTCACTGTCTATACACTTGCGTGTGTGTCTTTCTCTGTACGTAGCTTTAGGAATTCCTGGGAGTTCCAGGGAATACCGTGTAGTCTGTAGTGTAGAGTTATAGACTGTGGAGGCTGCCAAATAAGCTGATCAAATGGTCAAATGCAAAGTCTGAGAGAAAGAGATGGTGGATGGGGTCCTCAGGCAGGGGATTAGAGAGAAGAATGCTCTTGTGAGCTGCGATGGATGAAAGTGAGAGAGAAAAAGGAGAGGGGAAGCAGAGAAAGGAAGGGGAAAGAGGGCAAACGAAACCGAGACAGAAGGCAGACGCACAAACCCACTCAGAATGAGAGCAGGAGGCTGCCTTGGTTAAACGAAGTCTGGAGAAAAAATAAAAAAGGATTCTAGACAGGAATGTCTGCTGGAGCTCATCCCACAGAAGAAAATCAGGACAATTTTGCTTTCTATAGGAAAAAAAAATGTTTCCCAGATATTGGAATGGTAGCTAATTATAGGCAAATTGTTCCCTGGGAAGTCGCTCTTGGAGGCACATGGCCCTGCTCAGTGAGAGGAGAGTCCACTCATAACCTTGCTGTCTCCCAGTGTTGCCTAGACTGTTTTCTTATGTGGAAATCAACCATGGTCTCACCTCTGCGCTGTCTCCAATCTTTCGTATCCAAAGGACACAGACACAGAATGCCAATGGCTTGCAGGTCAAAGTGGTTAGACATAACATTTGTGTTCTTAAATAAATAAGTATTAGCATGAGAATTCCTCTGGGCTTCCCAATGATGTGTCAAGAATCCAGCCCTCCCTGAAGATGTCCTTCGTATCATGGAGGCAGGATAGTGTCCTACCCATGGCGTCACAGGAATCCTCACCTCAAACTTCTGCCTGAGCTCCACATTGCCTTCTTCATCCCCTTCTGGGATGGGTACGTTGTAGTATTCGCCCTCTTCTTGGTTGAGCAACTTGTACCTTCAAAGACAGGGGGAGAAGGGAAGGGAAGGGCCAGTCAATGGCTCTTCTCTCTCAGCCTTTAGTCAGGCTGTTGGAGAGATGCCTCTACAGGACCACAGCCAGGGCCCACAGATGATGAAAGGGAGGCTCTTGCCAGCCTCTTCCTGACTTCTCTCAGCTGCATGGGGTTTGGAGACATGCTAGGTCCCATGATTTTTCTTACCATCCGCTGGCTGGCATCTTCATCAGCTCTGAGACACCAAAGGAAAGGGAACCCATGAAGTCATTCCGTGTCGTTCGGTCCCAGTCCCAGATTTCTACAGACAGTCGTCGGTCTTTGTCTGAAGGCTTTAATTTGCTATAAAGACAAACATGTACACAATACATTAAGTCATCTCCATCATGGCATCTTGGGAGACACCAACATGCCCACAGTCTGTGTCTGAAATAAACAGTATCTTCAATTTCCTTCCTGTGTCAACAGGATATCAGCCCTTCATACTAGCTAGCTACAAAAGCTCTACTGAGACCAAGAATCAATGAATAACTGACCCTGGGCAATTCATATATAAAATTTTATTAGAACATAGCTTTGAACCATTTATTTACATAGGGCACGTACAAATAAAATTTTATTAGAACACAGCCTTGGCTATTTGTTTATATATCATCTGTGGCTGTTTTGTCAACAGAGCCTGTATGACCCACAATGTCTAGAATATAGACTGCTTGCCCTTTACAGAGCAGAGCTCAGTGGCTTCTGTCTGACAGGTGGACGGCTTTCCTTCTGGCTGTTCACAGAGGAAGCACTTCCTGTGTATGTCCCCTCGGGGACCTTTTGTGCTCTCTCCCGTGCTCCTGCGTATGTCCCCGGGGGACCTGTTGTGCCCTCTCTTGTGAGTGCCCCCTCACTACTGGTTCTTTACTTTTTCTCACCATTCCTTCCCTCCCTTCATCTCTGGTTTGGAATTTCTGTCAATCCTCCAAGACCCAGCTCAAATGTCACCTCCTTCAAGAACTTTTCCCTGCTTAGAAGTGAGTCTGTCTTCCTTATTTCAGTAGCGATGGAGCTTTCTATGCTGTGTGTTCACTGTTCTTTGCTGAAAAAATTATTAACTTCTTGCTCCATGCCCTTTCTTAGCTGCCAAAAGAATGGAGTCCATCAAGAGATGGAACACATCTTACATGTTTTTATGATCTCTAACACCCCAATCAGCTGTTTTTCTTTTGTTACAGAGCAGGGACTGATAATAATCATAGTTTGCTTTACACAAATCCTGGTAAACCAAGTCACTATGTATCAAACAGATGCAATGGCAGCGATCACTTAACAGTAGTCTGTGAAGGTCATAGGGATGAGGACATAGAGATATTTGCCACCCCTCCCCACCATTGTCTCTAATAACGGGGTCGGCATGTGGCATATGGGCCAAGTGCATTGCAGGGCAGGAAGGAGCACTTACAATGTGAAGGACTCATTCCACTGAGGGTTTAGTGTGGAGCGGATGGTTTTGGTTTTCTGTTTGCTTTCATTCTTGGGGTCAGGAATAAGTTTCAGCTTCACATAAGGATCTGAAAGCCCGTTTGGATCCATAGGGATTAGATTTTTTGCATCTCGTACTGTGAAGAGAAAAAGGAAAAGAAAAAGAAAGTATTATAAAAACAAGAACACTAACTTGCATAAACCAGCACTGGCATGGACACCATGCTGAATCAGAGCTGTCAAGATGGTATTTGTAGCCAGATGGAGTGGAGCATGCCTACAGTCCCAGCCCTTGGAAGGTAGAGGCAGAACATCACTGTTGGCTACATAACAAGTTCAAGGCCAGCCTGGGCTACATGAGACCCTGTTTTAAACCTTCTCCTACAACGAAGATACTGTCTCAGAGAAGAGATTAGTTGGAAGGCCCTGTTGTCCAATATAGGTTGTCCACTGCCTTCACTGATAGCCAGTGGGTGCTGGGTTCATTTAATGCTGCTAGTACATGTGTGTTTAGGGCTGACCACTTGGGACTAGATAAGCTATCATGGGGCTCGTCACTAGAGAACATCGATTCTCCGACTCCCAGAAGCCTTAACTGCCTGCAGCTCTTCATTTAGGGGTGGGACCTCGTGAGATTTTACCCATCTTTAGAGGAACATCAATTGGTGTCATCACACAGGTTTTGCTCAGGAGACCACGCCCCTTAATGTTTCACAGGTGCATCTCCCTCTCTGTGTAGCAGACTGCCTCACAGCAGACAGCCTGTGCTCGGGCTTATCATTCGGGGCCCCTCTTCGCCAATGTTTCCTGAGCCAGAGACAGTATCTTAGAATCGTCTCTACAGCCCATTTTAAAAATGTGCATGGAGTCAGAGTTCTTCCAAGACTCAGCCACTTAGAATCCAAGGCTTAACTAAGGCAGCACTGGAAGTCCAAACTCCAGCATGACGAAAGATAAAAGATGGGAGGTAAAAACAGAACTTCGTGCCAGCAATGCGAAGGAGCCCCATGTCTCCCTCATTGAACTCTAGAGGGAGAATCTGAAAATGTTTAGTAGATCTGACACTGACTGTAAGGAGGTCATATCCAAGAAGCTGATAAAGAATCTCATCAGGGTCACCAAGAGTTCCAGGTTTGCTTCCTGACACTTGTGGAATGACTATGGCACTGGCTTTTACATTTTCTATTCACTGCCTGGCAGGCTATGAATGGGCCCACTTTAGGGAAAGCTTTTCTGAATGGCGATGAGCTAGGATCTTGATGGAATTTAAAGCCTCTGGTTTCCTGCTGAGATATTATCATCTAAGCTGAAAATAAAAAGAGTTCTCAATTCCAAATGTCACGGAAGCAGACAGTGAGTCCAACTTTCAATTTCTGATTGCAGTGGGAAAACTGCATCCTGTTCTTCATCACAGGCAGGACACGTGACCTGGGACCGACTTGGGGGTCCATCTGCTCAAAATTCTGGATGCCCATGTATGCATGCTGGTGCAGCCCATTTCTGGCTAGGGGTGAGATACTTAAACTCATTTGGTGGGTTGAGGCCCAGGCATTAGGCTCTTCCAGGCTAGCCAGGTCAGTTTTCAGTGAAGCCAGTCGGAAGGTCTGATGCCCACTGGCAGGTGTTTTCAAAGCGCAGCCCTCACTAGTACTCCTGTCATCGCATGAAGACTTGGACCATTGACCATTTTATTTTTCTTTAAATTTGCTTAAGTTATAGGAAATGAGAAAAAAACAGATTGTCGGCTTTAAACAGTTAGTTCCCATGAAATGGAGTGAAATGAAGAACTGTGCTGTGTGTTTCTAGCTGGACATAAGGCAGGGGCCTGCTTTCTCCTTGCTAAAAGAGGAAATTAAGTGTTAGCATGCTGCCCCCTCTGCATTACATAGGAGAATGAAAGGAACAGAGATGGACTGGCTTCCTCAGCATGTAACTTAATACTTTCAATGTCAATTCAGAGCCTTCAGAAACCACCTCATGTGCCACCAACAGTCCACGCTCCCAGTGGTCCCTCCCCAGGGGCAGAAAACACAGTGGGAAGGAACGACACTTTGTATTTGTTAGGGATGTGGACTCTTCCACAGCCTAAGAGTGCCAGGGGTCAAAGGTCAGTCTCAGCAGACCCCATGGTTCCTTTCTTCTCTTTACCATCTGAGAACTAGATTGTTCTGATCCACGGAATTAAGATAATTTCTTGTTTTTTTTCTTTATGTTGTTGTTGTTTGCTTCTTTTTGAGATAGGGTTAAGGTCTCATTATGCAGACTGCCTGGTCTAGAACTTACTGTGTAGACCAGGCTGGCCTTGAACACACAGAGATCTGCTTGTCTCTGCCTCCTGAGTACTAGGATTAATTTAAGAAAGTCTGTCATAGAGCTGTGGAGAGGGCGTTGTCAGTAAAGTGCTTGCTGTGTAAGCACAAAGGCAAGAGTACAATCCCTGAACCCCATGGAAAAGCTGGGTGTGGCAGTACCAACAGCAGGCAGCTCACAGCCATCTATAATTCCAGCTCCAGGGTGATCTGACCTCTCTGACCTCCATGGGAACCTGCCCTCACATGCGTATACCACACAAAGACACATACATACATATAATTAAACATTTAATTAATTAATTAAAAATAAGGTTGATAGTGATTGAAGAAGATACCCAGAATTGACCTCTGACCTCTATATGCACAAGAAACCCTTCATCCAAGTCCTGCCATGTTAACTCAGTTCCCAAAGGCAGTCCCTATGCAGGTCTCCCCTGTGCATGCCATGCAGAATCACTAACTATACTCTTGGAGTCTACAGAAATGGGCCCAAGGATCTGTTGAGAAACCCAGTAAAAAAATCTGTCTCCTTGAAGCTCATTAACAGTTGTATAGCCATTAAGAGTAGGAGACACTTGCTGAAGAAACATATCTGTGCTGTGGTATTGGCCGTTTCAGAACAGAAAGTCTATTCTGTCTTCCCAGGACTTTAGTAGAAATGTAAAATATTAATTATATTCCTACTTCCTGCCTTGAGGTGGCTGCTCTGAAATTATAGGCTGTCAAGCCCAACACTGAGAAAACCCAGCATGGGTTAGAGGTTATATCATTTCTGGATAATGGAAGATATAATTTCTAGATAAGGCACATTCAAATAAGTTTAGGAAGACTGAGAAGCACCCATGTGAACTTCCTGTTCCATGTGGCTTGGTGAGCAGAGGACATGCATACTTTACATAAATGTTTAGGAGTCAGGAGAGACCCAGGCAGAAGACAATCTCATCAGATTGGAAGACTGGGCAGCCATGGGAGATGGGAATCAGAGCCTTGGCTGTCAACAATGGTTAATGTTAATCTTTGAATCGACAGTGTCTAGAATCATCTGAGAGATGGGCTTCTGAGCATGCCTGTGTTATTATCTTAATTATGTTAATTAAGCTGGGAAGAGCTGCTCACTGTGGGTGTCACATTCCCCAGCTGGGATCCTGAACTATGAGGAAGAACAGGAACTAGGAACCTGGTTCAGTTCTTGTTGCCTTGACTTCCCACCACGATGGATTATCTCTTGAACTGTGAGCTGAAATAAACCTTTTTTTCTTTTCCTTAAGTGACTTTTGCCAGAATATTTTATCATAGTAACAAGAAAAGAAACCAAGATAGTGCCCCAGATTAATGAATGGAGCAACAGCCTTCGCCACAGGGGAAGGAGAGGCAAGGACTCAGGCAGGTAGGCAGGCAGGCAGGGGTGACATCACCATGTTCTTTCTGGTTAAGGCAAGTTGTTCCCCCAGAGTCCCGAGTCAGATGAGGGCTTAATGAACATCACAGAATGTTTAGGGAACAACTGGACACAGGCTGCTTGAATGGATGCTGTAGGTGTGTCTGACTTCCCATGGGCACTGTGACAAGACCCCATGCTGGGGGTCAAATATTTGCCTGTCACCATTAGCTTTTTTGGCTTTAGAAAAATATTTCAATCTCTCAGCCAGTTTTTCTGTAAAGCTGGGACAGTAATGTTGCCCATCACTCAGGGTGACTGTGAAAATTAAATGTATCAGTACATGTAAAATGTTTCAAAGAGTATCTGGACTGATGACAGTGTTACACATGGTCATGCTGCTACTATTGCTAACAGAAGTGTTGCTATTAATTCAGTATCAGCTATCTGCATCATAATCACCACTGTCATTGCTGCCCCCATCATCACCAGTCCTCTTGTTCAGCCCAGGAGGCCAGGCTGTTTCCTCAGGGTGAAGAAAGTATATTGGAGTCGGGGAGACAGCTCGGTCCTTAAAGCGCTTGTAGGGAGCCATTCCTACATTCTCCATTACAATGACGGTGCCTGCAGA